AACCAGTAGGCTGTAGCCTGGATGGAATGCAAAGGGACAGAAAGAAAGCAGGCTTAATGGTTCTTACCTCCTGCCTGCCTTGCCATGGGCTGTTTCTCTTCTGCTAGGCCACCCTGCCTTGCAGCCGGCCGACTATGGACTGAAACCTCCACAATGTGAGCTAAAGTAAAACTCTCCTCCTTTAAATTGTGGGTGTTTTACTTTGTCCCAGCGAGAAGAAAGCAACTAAGACAGAGACCACCTAAATATATGAAGCAAAAATAAAAATGAAGAAACGGACAGTTTGATACAAGTGGAGAACTCAATACTCCATGATCGTTAATTGACAGAGCAACTAGAACACCACAGAAGCAGAAGGTTCAAACAGACCTAACATCTATATCGAGCACTTCACCTGTCAATATCCCCAATGCACAAAGAACATATTTTAAGTAAGGCCATAAATGTAAAAAGATCAGAATGTACAAAGTACTGTATGTTTTCCAAGTATAATGCAATGAAAGCAGTATTGAAAGGAACTTCAGATAATTGACAAATATGTGGAAACTAAATAACATATTCTTAAAACCAGCAGATCAAGGAAGAAGTCACAAGGGAAGGAAATAAATACTTTGAGACAAATGAAACAAGACACACTAGGGGCTGCAGATGCAGCTCCGCATACAGCATTTGCCTCAGGAGCCAAGCCCTGGGTGTGCGCTGCAAAACAAAAACAAAAAGGTAAACACACATTGTCCCAAAAGGCAGGGGTGCAGTGAGAGCAGAGCAGAGCTGAGCAGGGCATTTAGCGATGTATATGCCTATGTTAAAAGAGATCTAGGGCTGGGATGTAGCCATAGCATGTTCAACCCATCTCACTGTGAACTAAACTGAATCAAATAAATCCCCAAACCATTTCTAACCTTCCACCTTAAGGAACTCGAAGACAAGAGCAAACTAAACCCACAGAAAGCTGAAGAGTAGATATAAACAAAACACATAATGTGACAAACCAGAAGTTAGTTCTTTCAAAAGATCAACAAACTCTGATAGATCTTTAGCAAGATCTCGTACTCTCTTTGATGTGAACAAAGCCTCTCTTCCCCACTCTCCACTGAGCTCACCCTTTCTAACCCAAGGACCATGCGACTCGCCAGTTCTGCAGATTACTGGAAGCACCAAGTGTGAGTTCATCACCTCCCTACCAGTCTCCAGGCATTTCCCATCTCTTTTGCTGGTTCCTTCCCTGACTTGATCTTTACAGTGGGAACCTAAAGGCTCTGTCTACCTTTCAGAGGCTTCAATGATACAAACAGCCAGCTGTGGCACAGGTGCTACTGGTTCCCCATCACTGGTCCAGGCTCTCTTCTCTCAATAGACTCTGGCATGTGCCAATGAACTTTCCAATCTGGTTTCAGCCAGGCCAGGATCCCGCATTCCAGACTTTTACTCAACTGCTATTTGGTCATTTACATCAGTATGGACGCTGGCTCCTTGCAGCTTGTTATGTCGGTGGTACTGCTGCTATTCTTCCAGTAGTGCCGTCTATCCAGTTGCTCAGACTAAGAGTTTAGAGGTCACCCTTTCAGATCCAATCAACAAGGGCAGTCAGTCACTGATATCTCTGAACTACTCTAAATGTGTCCATCTGTTTGGACTACTGCACCCTAAGGCAAACTATTGCCACGCCCTACTTTCATTACAGCAGCCTTCTAGCTTAGCTCCCACAGTGGCTCTCCCAAGTGCCATTTTACCTGCTAACTGGAAGAGTTGGAAGATCTTACAGGTAGAGCTCTAGGTTGGAGTTGGATACCATCAATGGCATGCAGTACAGTTGTAAAGAGAAGCATGACAGAGGCAACCGTCCCAAGACCACTACTGTTGCTAAGCAACATCATAGGCCTATCTGAAGACACTGCAAGGGATCAACACCTGGCCAGCTTCCACAGTGAGCAGCAGAGGCAATGGAGGCAGGCTCCCTGAACTCCCCACCACGGGGCATGCTGCAACACAAGAGTCCAGGGGTAGGTAGTTCCCCTAGCTAGCCTTCTAGTCCTTCCACTGGTTTTGAAATAATCTTACTCCTTGCTTTAAATTCCTTTCTAACTAAAATACCCTAAAGAGGTTTTGGTTCTACCATTCAACCCTGCTGTACCTACCTGGTCTTCTTGTAGCCACTTTTTTGGCCATCCCTGGGATTTGAGCTCAGGGCCTTCTCAATGAGCTGCATCTCCAGCCCTTTTTTATTTTGATACAGGGTCTTACTGCATCACTAAGCTGCCCAGCCTGGGCTTGATCATGCACTTCTCCTGACTCAGCCTCCCAGAGTGCTAGGATTACAGGGGTGTGCCACCGTGCCAGGCGTCCCTGCATTCACTCCTGCTCATCTATAACCCACCTTTACCCGACGAAGAATTCCTTAAAACAGTAAATCACTCACAGCATCTTCTGCTCCACATCCTCTGGGGGCTTTCTGCCACACTTCAGACTACAATTCCACCCCTTTCCTGGGCAGCAGGCCGTCAGGTTCTGCATCTGTGCACCTCTCTGAGGCACCCAGCAACCGACCTCGCAGTCCCCGGAGCGGGCCACGCTCTGCCCACATCTCTGCGCCACGCAGCTCCATGTGCACAAGCTGCTTGCTCTTCCCCGGCTTCTTACACACCTCCCGTCAATGGTCCCATTTCCTGCACTTCCTGGTAAAAAGCCACGGTGTCCGTGTTCTCTGCAGAACACTGACTAGAACTGTGTCTAACTTCTGTCGTCTCTGAACACAGGTAACGTGGAGGCAATGTGCACAGCGGAAGGACATCGTAGATGCGTAGTATTTAACAATCAGTGTGGATTCAACTTGTAAAGAAGATGAACTTTACTTCTGTTAGGGTCACTGAGTGTATCAGCAAAACTTCACTCTTGAGTATCAGCTGAAGGAGAATACCCTTTTGCCATCAAGGAGGGGGTGGCAGGACACAAACTGCTTCGGCACTGACTATTTAACTTTTATACTCTGACAGGAATGAAGAAAGATCTGAAAACAAGCCCTCTTCACACAGCTGTTGGAAAAACTACCCCAAATCACTCATTTTAAAGATGTGTCTCACGCGATACAGTTGGGCAGAGGGACAGAAATGGGTGGATTTCATTTGAGATTATTGTCACTTCTTCCAAACTTCTCTGACTCTTACACTATCCTGCTCTTTGCTTTTGGGGCCACGGGAAGTGCATTTTTCTCTCGCTGCAGGCCGGGTAACTGGTGGTCTCACACTTGACAAAGTTTCTGCAGAAACAGCGCCACCTGCCGGGCAAAGTCTACAGTGCATCGGCCTTGGTAACGCCTGTGGCAGTGAACCCCCTCCTCCTGCAACTCCAGACTGGACAAGGATGGGGCTTAGCTGCTAAGGGCAGGCTTCCACAAGGGCAGTCTGGTGCCCTTCTACGCCAGAAGGCCCACAGGATTACAGCGCCCACCGACCTGGGAAATCAGGACCACTCTGGGAAAGAGAAAACGGAAACATCTGGACGAACAGGCAGGAGTACGGAGCCACACTTTCAGGGTCCTCTGCACCCTGCAGTCCGCAAACAAGGCGCCAAGGAAACTAAATGCCTTTGCTCTCGTTTATGGAAGTGCCAGACGTTTTCTCTTCTTTGCCTAAAGACCATGACTTTATTTGGATTTACCTCCTAGTTCATTGCCCTGCGTGTCAGGGGGCTGGGGTAGCACTGAATTGCATCCGCAGACCTTGTGAGACAGGTTCTCACTAGGTCCGTAAGTTGCTGTGGGCTCCACTCCCCCTCCTGCTCCAGCCTCCTTCGGCAGTGCACGCGTTACTGGCTTGCGCCGCCACACTCAGCTCCATTACTCACTTCCTTAGGTGATGAAGTGGAAGAAAGCTCCCCATTGCTACCTTATTCCTCAGGTTCTGGCAAAGATCCTCTCCATCACACAACTGTGCTGGTTTCCTTGAATCTAAAACTTTCATTCAGTTTTCCCTTCCTTACACGCCCCACTTTGACACACTAAGTCCAATACTCCACCTTGCTCTTAACCCCTCTATCTACTTTTCTGGCCTCATTTCTCAGTGTAAACTACAGCTTATCTAGAGCTCTCTCCACAAGGCAAGGCCAGGGCTTCTCCACTCCCACCCGTGCGGGCCGGCACCGAGCGCCTCCGGTTCCTACCTTCAGATCTGACGCAAACTTCTCTCCTGTTTCTTCCTTATTCTTCCAATTTCCTGCACTGCTGCTGAGGGACTCAGCCCATTTGCCCATGAGCTTGTCCAGAAAAATGAACATCCCTCTTTTATTGCCATTCATGGTTTTATCACTTACAAATTACTCCCATTTCTAAGATTTACTTAAACTCGTTTCTGTTTTCTACTTTTGTGTACTTTCATAGTCTTCAGATTTCTTAATTAGCGACTAGGAGATCAAAATTAGCACTATAAAATATCCCAAGTCTGTCCCTGTCCTCTCGCATGTGTGTGACTGCTTCCTTTCCCTTATTCAAAGCATTCCTGAATTATTCCTCCAGGAGCCCTTACAGTTCTTCTTGTTTAACTAGGAAAATAACAGCCTCCTTCAAGCATCATCTTACACACTTATAATATTCCCCAAATCTAAGAAGCCCCACTCACATACTGAGTATTTACTATCCAAATGCAATCCTAACCATCTATGGGTACATGAGTCAGATGCTAGTGAGGGGGCTTCCTCTGGCACTCCCATGAAGTATGCACACATCACACATAATTAAGACAAATACCAAAATAAAAGTGTTAGCCAGGAGTAGTGGCACATGCCTGCAATCCCAGCACTTGGGAGGCTGAGGCAGGAGAATCGAAGCAAGTTTGAGACCAACTTGGGCTACAAAATGCGCTCAAGGCCAGCCTGAACTACAAAGCACAACCCAAGACAGAAAAATAAATAAATGAATAAAAGTGTTATTTTTTCAATCTCTCTTCAGTCTCAGTTTCTCTTTTGCTTTTGGCAGTAGTGATACAGTTCAGCAACTTGTATAAAACTTAAGAGAAGAAAATGCTTTTATTAATCACAACATGAAACTGACATGCAATTGTATTAGAACTGAACCAACATAACTAATGCTGTTATAAAATTTACATTTCTCACGTCTATTTCAGAGGAAAATTTTATGTACTACAGCTTTTTTTTTGGTGTTACAGGCCGATTTCAGTAAATTTAAAAAAAAAACAGTACATAGCAATTAACATATATTCTCAAACTGTGCTAAGACACAGTTAGAAAGGCAACTGTAAAATCTGTGATAACAACCAGCAGGATTAGGACTGTTCTGTTAAACATTAAGCATCACCTTCCTCTTTCAGCTGTTGAATCAGTGCACTCTTTTATGGAGAAGACAAATGTTTGTTATGGGAACCACATGATTAGCAAATCTCTTCTTACATAACAGACACTTGATTGATCAAAGCTCTAGCTGAACAGAAACTGGTCAACTTTTTCATTTGCACACAGGGAAGGAAATATGAAATGCAGCTGTTAGAATCCTATAACTCATGTTCACAGGGACAATGAATTATTACTGGGAATCTCTCTGACATTATTTGCAGTTTAAAAAAAAGAGACTTCTGAATAATATCTTAAAACTGGGTTTCCATTTTGGTAATGACCTGATAACACTAACACACCTGATCTGTAGTTTAACAATTTCTTCTGTCAACTACACTTTGTTTACAATAAGGGATAGTCATAGTCTCAAACAGTGTCTCCATATAAAGCATCTTTAAATAAGTTTCATTTTCAATGAACTGAAGACTTCTTTCCACTATGTGCCCTTGGAGGTTAATTTGAGCACACATAGGTACACCTTTACCACTGGAATAAAGGTAGGCACTGAGGGGTCCTCAGAAACCCTGTCTACGTGGACGAAGGCAGGTGGAGCTCACTGAAGGAGGTGATGAGCCGGTAGTAAGTCTTCTCATCATCTGTCAGCCCCGCGTTGCCAGGTCTCACCACCACGGCTACATGCACATCCGCTTCCTCGGCAGCACTGGCCTCTGTAGGAAGTAAAGCATGGGTCAAAAACACCAAAACACCATGGCTGAGATTTGCAGCAACATTATGGGGCATGTGGCAACAGGAGTAGTGAATTTAGGTCTGATTTTTATTGATGCAACAAGATGAGCACATTTTCTTCTCCTTATACGTTTCAACTCCATGTTTAACAACTGCCTAATTGTTCACAGCAGAACAGCAGCATATCCTCTACTTCTGAGCTTCACTAAATGCCTGACCTACGAGTGCAGACAGAGCTGCACTTCGTCCGCCCATCTGCCTCCGTTCTCTCCCATGGGTCCCACCGAGACCTGAGCTGTCTCCATAAGGGCAAGCTGCAGGTGACAACACTGATTAGGCAGATGTGGGACAGAATGAATCCTACGATCCAAACAGGCCGAAGTACCCACTCTCACATCAGCCCCATGTCATGCACACTCCCTACACTACCCACCCCTTCTGCCTGGGAAGTTCCTGCTCTTCAAAATTCAGTTCAAAATGCTGTTTTCCAGAGCTACTATCATCTGCCGCAGAGCATCTGTGTGTTCCTCACACACCTGTATTTCCCTGTCACAGCACAAATGAGCACTGGCTACTTGTTTCTCCCCTCATTGGCTATGAATGCTTTAAGATCAGTGACTCTGTGTATGTATGAGAGGGTGGAATAAAACCGGAAGTTAAGTGGAATTATGTAAACAAGATATTGCAAGAGACATCTCTAACATACATTGGGCTGTACCGCTCTCTCCATTTTATTTCTATTTGAAAAATAGGGGCTGGGGATATATCTCAGTGGCATAAGTGCCTGCTTGGCAAGTGCAAGGTCATGAGTTCAATCCCTGGTACCGCAAAAAAAAAGAAAAATAACAGCTAATGCTTCCATTAATTTAGCACTTCCTAGGTGCTAGGTACTATTTTGGAACCAGGGCTATGTGAACAAAGCTCCTGCCTGATGGCGCACCCAGTCTCATCTGAATCACACAGCAGCGCAGGAAGCCAATATCACTACCCACACCCAACAGATACAGACACCGAGAGCAAGCAAGTGGCCAGGTTGAACTGTGACCCTCAGCCTCACTTCTGGTGCTCTGCAACAGCGGTTGGCAAATGAAGGCTGCCATCTGCTGTGGTACAGAGCCACACCCATTCATCTGTGTACAGTCTGTGACTGCCTGGCGCTACAAGGGCAGTTGAACAGCTGGGACAGAAGATAAGGACCATACAGCCTGCAGTATCTAGCTGTGACCTTTACAAGAAAGGCTTGCCCAGTTCTGCTCTTGGGCACTGACACCAGGTAGAAGACCCAGCTCCGCCCCAACATAGAACAACTGCTGAATCAAGATCCCCATGATTCCTCCACACAAACTCAGAGAAAGGAGTAATTCTTGGCAGGAGAGAAAAGCACATGAGTAGGGACAAAGCACAGAGCAGCTGGAGTGGGAAATGGGACATGGGTGTGTGCTAAGGGCGGACTTCTCGGGACAGACGGGCGCCGGGCAGAAATCTGGTGAGCGTGCGCGGAAACTGAGGCTTGGACTGCTGAGAGGTGGGTTTTCCACCGCTGGGACTAAGGGCAGGGCAGCAGCACAGAGACAAGTTGCTCCTGGAGACCCAGTGGAGCTGAGCAGCCCGCTCCTTTCCCGAGTCCCAGCCGCGCCCAGCACACAGGCAGCTCCTACCTGCCTGACTTCCGGGCAATGCTTTGCCCTGGCCGGGTATCACAGCTACAGGGGCTCAGATGCCAGCCTGTGGCTGCTGAGTTGGGCACGTCTGAGGACACGAGTCTCCTGTCAGCATGTCTGCTCTGTTAGTAAATACTAAGCCGCTTCAGTATTTGTTGACACAAACTCTGGATTCCTTTCCGCATCTCAAGGAGAAAGTCTTCCGCTCTCTCCTTCACACCTGGGTATCATCTGGGTATGGACTTCGACTTCTGGCTGCCGCGGCAGAGGGATCTAAGCACATGGCACCAAGACACAGGCCCACAGTCGACAGGAAGAGCGAGGCAGCCACCGGGCTCGCCTCGCCCCGGCCACACGTGCCGGTTCTCTCTCCCGCCTGAGGGGGCATGGGGCTGGCAGAGACGAGTGGCAGAAAAAAACCTTTGTATGGTACAGTCAGGAGGAAGCCAATTTCTCTTTGAGGCTAACGGGGATCATCACTATTCTTTGGAGTTAGGAATAAAGTCTGGAACTGCAACCAAAGGAAATGGCTCAGGTAAAAGCAGAAAGTCCTGAAATTATAGATGTAGGACTAGAAAATTAATAGATGTGTGGCTAAAGACAAGACTATGAAGACACTACAAGCAGTCTTAGAGGCGTTATAATCATAACCAAAAGCGAGTTATGAGAGGGTCTGGTCTGGGAGCCCATGCTGAGCCAATCCAGTCGAAGAGGTGGCTGACTGGGTGGAGAGTTCTAACCCGGTGCAGGCCCTTAATTCTAGGCTTGCAGAAATCTCCCCTCTAGAGTGCTGTGCACAACTGTAAACGCCTGTCACCCGAGCACTCAGGAGGCTCGCGAGTTTGAGGCCACCATGGACTACAAAGCAAGGCCATTGCTCAGAAAAACCAAATGGACAACCACAGTGTGCTAAGGTAATTAAACAGAAAATAAACTGCAGTTTCACCTCTGACAGTTTCCTTTAAGTGAATAAAGAAAATCAGAAGAAACCTGCTAAACTCACCAGAACAAGACCTATTACCTTTCCATGAGGAACAAAACAGCAACAGGGCTTCAAGCTGTCATTTTTCACAGAAACTGCTGGCACACCCTCACCTCACCAGAGCCACTCTTAAGGCTCTAAAAGCTACCCAAGGGTACTGTAGCTTGAAACTGTCAAAGGATCTACATAGAAATATTGGTGAACGTTTATAGCACATGTGCAGTTCGGGGGAGAGGGAGGCCAGATGAAATGGAGGCAGCTAAGGCTAGCGCTCACTGACAGTTCCTTCTCTGTGGCCTGGTAACTCGGTTAACAATAAACCTTGGAGCAGGGTGGCTGTCCATGTGAGAGCAAGCTTTACAGGGAGTAGAAAAAACAAGCAATTTATAGAAAGCCTTGAACTCTGAAGCTGACCCAAGCCAGGACACACAGGGGAGAGGCTGATCTCACTAATCCCACTAAGTCTGCCGAGTTTCCAAATCTCAAGGTAACAAATCACTCTGAATTGCTGTTGTTTACATAGATTAAAAACTCAGGTCCATTTACCCAGGACTGAAATGTAACAAAGGTATTAACTACTGAAGCCGGGCACAGTGGTGCACACCAATAACCCCAGCTACTCAGGAGACTGAGCCAGGAAGGTCACAAATTCAAGGGCAACCCTGGCAACTTAATGACACCTGTCTTCAAAGGAGCTGGGGATGTACCTCAGAGCTTCCTGGGTTCAATCCCCGGTGTGGGATTGAATGTCTACTTACTCATCAGTGACCCGCAGACATTAAGTTAGCCTTGCTCTATTTGTATTTCTCTGAGAAAAGATACAACCTCTGAAGGCACCAGGTGATCTGTGCTGGTTAACAGTTTTTTTTGTTGTTGTCTTATTTTGTTTTTTATCTTTTTGAGACAGGGTCTTGCTCTGCAGTTCAGGCTGGCCTTGACATCACTTTGTAGCCCAGGCTGGTCTCAAACTCATGACGACCCTCCTGCCTCAGCCTCCCAAGTGCTGGGATTACAGGCGTGCACCACCACACCCAGCTTGGTTAATAGTTTTTTAAAAACAGCTTAGTAAATGTGAACCCGCAACTCCTGCCCATCACTCTACACCAAAAGCTCAAGCACCAGCAGCAGAGGGAAAAAGTGTAGCTCCAACTCACTGCTTGAGATAAGAACCTTCACCAGCAGCTGGATTTTTCCTTGGACCCCATCTCTGGAAATCCTGCCACAGAGGTGACTTAGTTGTGTGGTAACACAGAGGAAGGCTGCAGAGCAGCACCCTGCGACAGACCAAGGAAGCCTCCTCCAAGAGGCCCAGGTCCTGAGTGGAGCAAAGCAGTGGCCTCCTCCCCTTGGTGTCCTCTCTCCAGTGCCCTTGCCCAGCTGAGGGTTAAGGTTAACTGTCAACTTGATTGGCTTGGAGCCATGTAGGCAACTGGGAACGCACACTTGCGGTGTGTCTGGGTGGATCGTGCACCCTCACCCCTCCTCTCTGGCACTGTTCCCCTGCTGTTTCCTGGCTGCTGTCACCTAAGCAGCTTTGCTCTGCCAGCCGATCATGGACTAAAACTTCTGAACTGTGAGCTACACAAACGTCACCTTTAGATTGCAGGCGGGGGATACCTGGTCCCAGCAAGGAGCAAGCTGATAACACAACAGCCTGTGTCCCTGTCACAGACACAATCTATCGAGAGCCTCAGCACAGTGCACAAAGTCCTGTTCTGGGAGCAACAGAGAGTGTGAGCTTGGTCCCAGAGACATTTACAACCCCAAGTGGAAAGGAAAGAACAAGAATATGCACAGCTGCAATTCTGAGATACAAACACGACTACAAACACCAGAAATTGGCCCACCCAAGATGCACTCGCAGGTGGGAGCGGGTGGGAGAGTGTGGAAAGTCTCCACACCCAGCGGCCCGGGGAGGACCCACACAGCCCACCTTCCTATGCGCCTGTGCTCTGGTTTCCGCCTTCACTGACTTTCCCTCCTGTATTTCCCTAGAGGACTCACGTCCTTACAGATGCTGCAGCATGACCGTCCGATCTGGTGGAAAGAACTACACAAATCGTTTGTACTGCCAGTCAACTGCACACCATTCTGTGCACTCAGTCCTTAGAGTGACAGTGTATAATGCTAACGCACTGTGCACATGAAGAGGGGCAGGCTGGAAAAGTATTATGTGCATCTTTACACTGTGACTCCAACATGATGAAGCCTGAGATCTACAACCTGGTAGGCACCGAGAAAAGAGACCAGCTGAGGGTAGACAGAGAGGAGGGTCTGCTCTCACGGATGGCAGTGGAACGGTTCCACCGGGATGACAGGCAGACTTCAACTATGTATAGTTCCCTCTCTTCCTTTCCCGTAAGGCTAGAGCCGACCTCATTTCTGTTAAATGTGCCTGGTTCAGGTTGACCGTTACTTTCATGCCTGTAACTAACCATCACCTACTGTCCTGCCTGTGTGCTCCACACCACAGTGATACCCCAGGCTTTCCTTTGATATGCCCATGCAATTCGGGCACACCGAGGGGTGGTGAGGAACCACAAATAAGGAATTAAACGAGCAGAATCTGTCTTTCTACTGTTACAACCTTCAAGGATTAATAAATGGAGACAGAGTGGATAAGATGGCTCACTGTTTCGTTTTATACAATTACTATACTTTTCAAGAGTCGCCACATAAACATTTTAAAAAGAAAGGTGTGTTTGTCCTGCAAGGCCAGGCTCCTCCCCGGAATCCGTAACGTAAGAAGTCCAGGGGCATGGTGGTATGTGCCTGTAGTCCTGTGCCTATACCAACTCAGGAGGATAAGGCCGGAGGAGTGCTTGAGCCCAGGAGGTGCAGTCCAGCCCGGGCTGATCACTACTCACCTAAAGTAACGTCTGTCAGAAACAAGATGTTGCTGGGTGAGCATCCAATGCTATCTGCAATCTTCCGGTAGCTCTCACTCTCCACTTTATGTCCGATCTTGGTATCAAAGTGACCATCAAAAAGCTGAACAGAGAGAAGAGAGGAAAACTATCACTGACACCACATTCTTTTCTTATATCCTTTTTCCCTGAAAAGCATGAAATTATATATGACTTTATTCATTCAGTAAGTATTTACTGAACATCTACTTTACTAGAGAACTTTATGGCCACTCAAAAAAAGTAAATAAAGGTTTTATAGCAGTAAACATTTGGAAGAAGACATACATAAGACTACATGCCACGTGATTTCCACAGGCATTCATTTTATATCCAAAATCATTAAGAGACACATTATCCTTCTGATCCTAGAATGAAGAGATGTATCTAATTTGTCATTAGTAAGTTATTATTTTACTTTCAAAAATTTTCATTTTCTAATTAAAAATTTTTTCAATTCTACCCTCGTGCTAGTGGATGTTCTAACCATCATAGAAGTAAATGAAGTCAAATGTGTCACTTGTTTATAACCAACAGTAATTAAAATAAACCCAATAAACCCATGTTTAGGATTAGCCATTATGATATAATCATCTGAAGGTCTTCAGACCTTCTCACAAACTAAAAGCAAGCCTAATGATCACTCAGAATTAAGGAAATATTAAGTTTTTTTAACTTAAGATTGGTTTTGTATATACCTTTTCTCTCATTTTGCCTTATGTGGTAACTAAAGAATAAGATTTTTACTGCTGAACTCAGTAGGTAATTTTCATGCCCTGTCTACTTTTACCTTATTGCCTACTGTATGACAGCAGAAAACAGCTTTATATCTGTATTCAGAGGACAGTCACTAATGACTAAAGGGTTTCACTATTAGTTTCATATTTGATTTAGAAATAAGATAAAAAGTAGGAAAATTAAATGGGACAACCTCTAAAGCCGAAGTATTCTCTGCAAACTCTAAGGGCTCAATAAATATTTATGTTACGGCTGCAAATGTAGCTCAGTGGCAGAGTGCTTGCCCAGAGTGAATGAGATGCTAGATTCAATTAGATTCAATCCTAAGCACTGCGAGAGACAGACAGACAGACAGACAGACACAGAGAAACAGACCGAGAGACAGAGACAAAGGAAGGAAAGAAGGAAGGGAGTGAGGAAGAGAAGGAGTTACCTGGCCAAGTTACCTGTGTATCACTAAGTTCGTCCTGTATTCAGTTGTCAGCACTTTTTTCTCTTTATGATGCTGGGGTTCAACCCACAGCACTCGCTTCATTCCTACGCTACACTCAACCCCAGTCAGCACTTCTTTTTAAAGTTTTAAATGTATTCCCTTCTGCTGATCGCCCTACCCCAAGCTGTGGGGTTGAGACACAGAGATGAGCAGGAATTTTCTTGTGTATAGGAAATGTGCAGGTAATTTTAATTTACCACTGTGCTTCATAATGTGCCCAATTATCTTACATAATAATGCAGGGGATTTTTTTCTCCTGAAATAAAACACATACCTTTCCAAAGTGCCAGAAACAAATGAGACTGCCTTGTGCTTTGCTGCATTCAGGAAGTCTTCAGGGGACTGGGACAGAGCTCAGTAGCACAGCACTCGCCTAGCATGCACAGGGCCCTGGGTTCAGTCCCCAGCAACACACACACATACACACACTCTCCGTTAAGCCGTTCTTCAGACTGTGCACAGTCCTATTTTGCATCTTCCCTAATTTTATTATTTTTCCAAACACAGAATAAGCTTTTGCTTTCCTGTAAACGTTCCACATGCTAGGCAAGTGCTCTACTACTGAGCTACATCCCTAGCCTTTCCTTAAAATTTAATTTGAGGGCTGGGGATTTAGCTCAGCGGCAAAGCGCTTCCCTGGCAAGTGCAAGGTCGTGAGTTTGGTTCCCGGTACCGGAGAAAAACAACACCAAACAAAAAAATTTAATTTGAGACAAGGTCTCACTTAGTTGCCTAGGCTGACCTTGAATTTGCAAACGTCCTGCTTCAGTCTCCTGAGTATGTGGGATTATGGGAAGTACCACCAAACCCAAGCACAGTAAATTTTACCTTTATGCAGAAGAAATTATAAATATAATATAGCTAAAAGTGATTTTTTTGATACTTTATTTTATATAACCAAAGAGCATTTCACTACTCTCCTCTGGGTGTTGGTTTCCTAATACTGGGAAGATAGCTGATTTACATGCCAGCTCAGGAGTTGGTATGTATGTACACACATGCATGTTTTTACACACATACAGTAGCCAGTTGTAACACTTGCCCTTATCTAAAATCACCTCAGGTGGATGTTTAAATGCAAGCCCACAGCCCCATTCTACATCTACCTGTTCAGATTTAGTAGGAGGCAAAGCCCAGGGATCTACATTTTTAATGAACTCCTTAGGTAATCCCGATGTACAACAAAGTTTAAGAGATTTTGATCCAAAAACTGGCATCCCATAGTTCCCCTTTCTCTATGCAATTCCCATTTCTTTTTCTATTTTTTTTCTTTTGGTTTTCTGAGAGAGTCTCACTATGTATTTCAGGCTGACCTTGAACTCAGTGATCGTCCTGCCTCAGCTTCACCAGTGCTGGCATTACCAGTGTGTGCCACCATGCCTGGCTTTCCACTTCCTTTTACAGCCCATGTGTCAGCACACATAAATGTAGTCACCTGCATGTGGAGTTAGCTTATAACTCTAGCGCCTTCCTTACTCCACATTTCATGCCTCGAAAGTGTCAAAAGGAAGTAAGCCAAATAACCTACCTCAAGGACATTTCCCTCTGTAGAATGCCCAAATAACAGTTTCTGGGCCTCTACACTCCCTGAGGAATAGATGTACACCTTCATTCCAGCCGCTTTCCACCTCCTGACCGCGGGGACTACGTCTTCAAAGAACCTAGAAGGAAAAGAGTTAGGGTAAATCGTGTGAGCACTGCATGGAGGTCCACGAACACCAGGCAAGGTAAACGCCACGCACTTCTATCTGTGCCCAAACAGAACACGAGAAGCAATTCTACACAGCTCACACTCCTCAGTTCTCATAAATATGAGTGCCAGGATCATGGCAGATTAGAAGGAACCATCTGAGTGGTAAGAGTAATTTCTGACATTAAAGGATTACAGATAAATGGATGAAATGTGATTTTTTTAAATTCTCAAGAAACTCACAAAAGCAACAGCAATAATACTGCATCATATAATCTTCGATGCAATTCATGACAAGAAAAGGCTAGTTTATGTCCAATGTGTTTTTAAAAGGCACAGAAGTGCTTTTAGAAAAAGATCTGCACCAAAAAAAAAAATTTTTTGTTTGTTTTTTTTCCGGTACTGGGAATCGAACTCATGACCTTGCACTTGCTGGGCAGGTGCTATGCCACTGAGCTATATCCCCATCCTCCCCAAAATTTTTTTAATTCTGAGAGCTCAATGCTGTAAATCTGTGATTAGCCAGAAAACAGAATTACATTTTGAGAATTAAAAAAACTTACACCTTTATTATACAGGAAAAAAAAAAATTCAGAGTAAGTCAGGTAAGAGACTTGAATAATCTCACATTAGCCAAGCAGTAAACCCTGTTTGGGTTTCAGATTTCTAAGAGTCTCAAAAAAAAATTTTTTTTTCAGACAGGGTTTCACTGTATAGTTCAACTGGCCTAGAGTTCACTGCGAAGCCTCGGCCGGCCTCGAACTAACAGCAGTTCTCCTGCCTCTGCCTCCCGCGGGCTGGCATTACAAAGTGCACCATCACACCCAGCCACGCAGTTTCTTTGATCAATTCTACAGCGTTCCCATAGCTAGTAATGGAGACAGTGTGACAGGAAATAAGTGGGAAGCACAGGGAATTCGGGATGTGGGACTAAACTTTAAGAGATGACTGGAAAATGTCAGAAACGTACCAAGTAAAACAGCTTAGTAAGCTGCCTTAGCTGAAAGAGAGATGGACACCTTCAAAACCAGTCCACTTAATTTAAGTGCGTTATTTTGGATTTTTTTGGTGTGAATCTGCACCAATTGTTTTTGTTCTAAAGCAGGGTTTAAGAAGTTTAAGGTAATTTAAGTTTTCTGGTTTTCTAACTGAGGAAACAAGAGAAGGGCTAACTATCAGGAAAGCAGTCTTCTGTCTCTACACTTGTGGAAGTTCAGAGTGAAGTGGCTAATAGTCTCAGATTACTGGCATATCCTGAAATTCCAATGCATTCTTTAAAAGGTCTGTGGAAGGTGCTCAAAAATCACAGAAAAAGTGGCAGACCTGACATCCCAAGTGAGCCCAAAGCGACAGCTGCAAAATTTCACAATTTTCACTTCTCTAACAGAACAAACAGCAGGTGATCTGCCGGCCTTGGGAAGCAGACCACCAGCACCATCATTTGTGTGCTAAGGATCACATGTAACTCTGTTCTAGGAGTCACTATGTGCAAGGAAGCTGCTGTAAGCTGTGACTAAAAGTCATCTGATCATCTAAGACAGCCATGCAGGTCCGGGGAATTTAGCTGACTGAAATGCGTTAGCTCAGCTTTGGAAAAAAGAAAACAAAACAATTCACTTGTTAAAACTAATGCTTAATTTCATCTATTTTACTAATCATGCAACATACAATGCAGAGAGAGGACTACTGAGAAGCATATTCAGACTTGGGGCTGGTAAAAATCCACTCATCTGAGCACCTACTCTCCTTTCACGTGTCCAGCTGTGAACGCTGCCCTCCACATGTGGCCCTGCAGCTGTTTGAGCGCTGTGGTCTTCCGGTCCAGAGACATCTGCCAGCGCACATTGTCTACCACAGCCTGGATCGTCTGCTGGAGGTCATCCGCCCCTTCCCCAGACGCCGTGGGGATAGGAACAGCACCATCCAGGTGGGCATCTTCCTCAGCCTTTAAGTCAGAAAAACAAGAAGTTTGTTTCTTGCATATTTTTTGAAAGAACATTAAAAAGAAGACTCCAACTATCACTAGCTGTAGAATTGCTGCAAAAGATTCCTAAGAGAACAATCCCTAGCCAGGCACAGCGGTGCTTGCCTATAATCCCAGCTCTCTGCGAGCCTGAAGCAGCAGGACTGTGAGTTTGAAGCTAGCCTGGGAAATTCCATGAGAACCTGTCTCAAAAAAAAAAAAAAAAAAACAAGCACCCAGGTGTAGTAGCACATGCCTGTAATTCTAGCACTTGAGAGGCTGAGGCAGGAGGATCATCATGAGTTCAAGGCCAGTCTGAATTACACTATGGATTTTCAAGTAGGCAAGTCACTGGACTTCCCTACCCACTGTGAACACAGGGCACACTGCTTTACCCTACCCTCAGTGCCCACTCTAACCCTCCAGCACCCTACCTGCTTCCTCAGAAGGCTGACGTCCTGCCGACACTCCTCCTCCTCCCAGTGTGTCTGCAGATACTCCTGCACATTTTCTTTGATGTAAGGAAATAAAATGTCCTGGACAAAAGAGTAAAAAACGAAAAAGGAATTAGTTTTTGTTTACCGTACAAGAGCCAGTTCTTCCATAACCTCTCCAGAGCTAACTATGACAAATACATTAATGGAACTCTTCGTGAAAACTGCTCTACAGTTTTATGAATGGGACAGAGACCAACAACGAATGAGGCAAACTATACCCCACAGGCAGATCTGGTCAGCCACCTGTTTCTGTTAACGAAGTTTTATTGGAACACAGCCACACTTATTTACATAGTGTTTCTGGCTACTTTGGGGGCCACAATGGCAGAGCTAAAGACCTAGACTGAAACCACATGGCCCGCAAAGCCTAAAGAAAATATTTACTATCTTGGCCTTTACAGAAAAAGTCTACCAATTCTTGAACTACACTGCTGGACCACAGCTCCTTGAGGGCATAAAGTGAGTATGTCTTGCTCCCAGCAACACCCTGATACACAACATAGTATACAGCTCAAATATCTGGTGAACCTAGGGTGTCTGTGCACAACATATTTTAGAAAACCCAGAATCTGATCACCACAACTTTTTCCTGGTAATCAGACTACCTAGAGATTAACACTAAAAGAAGGTGATGTGTAAAATAATTCACTAGTAAGTAACCTGTCAGTAATCCATGTATTAGGAACATGATTTTCCTTTGGTCAAAATTTTATTTACTAATTTTTTATTGGGGGCTAAGGATTGAACCCCAGGCTCTTGATCCCAGCACTTGGAAGACTGAGGCAAAAGAATCGCTACAAGGTTGAGGCCAGCCTGGGCTACATAGTAGGTTCAAAGCCAGCCTGAAGAGCAAGACTCTGCCTCAAAAAAATAAAAAAATAAAGTCACCTTCTCAGCCCTTCTTTGGGTAAAATATTTACATTTACTTGCATTTGGAATATGCACATCTTTTCAAATCAAATTATGGTGCATTAAAAATTTTTTTAGTTATCTATGATGTCCAAAGATACATGAATCCTTGAGAAGGGCATGGAGAAGTGGATTAAAAAAATACAAATCACAATCCCTGTCCTGAAAGTGGCTAGGGAGCTAGTCAGGGGAACAGCAGGCAAAAACGCTGGACAGCAGTGCAAGGGCATAGCAAGCTGAGCCCAGTACAGTGGTATACAAGTCCAGGGTGCAGTGGCTGGCGACACTCTTAGGATAACCAATCTAAAAAAAAAGAAGAAAGACAGTATATGTTGTGTAGAGAAGTCTTCATATTTTACGAGAAATCCTGTAACTGAGCTGAGTCCAAGAAGTCTGCTTATTTAAATTCAGGTACAACTTTATTCAAATACTGGAAGGCACTGTGGTTAGAACTGGATAGAATCATGAGCAAACACCATGGATGAGCCTTAGCAGGAGCACACACTAAACATTACAAAAAGCTAATTGTCATAAACGCTACAAAGGAGAGGTACATAGTATTACTGGATCAGAAAAAGGGGAAATTGGAACTAGCAAGGGAGGTGAGGGAAAGCTTGGCTAGAGAAGTGACAACAGAACTGGGATCTAAAGCCATGGTTCTCACAGCGTGGCCAAGGCCTCTGACAGTCCCCGAGAGCCTTCCAGGAACCCCTAAGAACACTAAGATGTGTTTGCCTTTCTCGATTTCATTCTTTCAGGAGAGCGCAATGGGGATCCTGGGAGCAACAGGACGGGTGCTGGGACCAAAGAGCAGATGCAGAAAGAACCCAGCTGTCTTCAATAGCACGGTCAGGCCAGCTGCAAAAACAGACAATGCCATTCTTCTAACCACGTTTCCAAAGCAAGAAATAACCTCCTTATAAAAATGCAGTATTCAGTTACATTACCAAAGAAATGGGGTTTTTTATTGCTGTTTAAAACAAATAAACATTTTCTACTCAGTTTTAATTTCTAATCTAATACTCATAGAACTTACATAAATAAAAGTCCTTTGGCTCTTCAGTGATTGTTAAGAGTATAAAGGAATCCTGAGAACAACGTCTAAGAATTACCAAAGGAGGACAGGACTAACTCAGAGAAGACCAGAGGAGAGGACACAACACAGGGAACAGCGTCAGTAAGAAGAGGCTTGTGGTGGTGGGGTGGAACAACTCTAATCCTAGCACTTAGGAGGCTGGGGCAGGAGGGGTTTGAGGCAAGCCTCAGCTACACAGTGAATTCAAGGCCAGCCTGAACCACACAGCAAGGCCTTGACTCATAAAAACAAAAACACAAAAGAGGCTCATAGGCGGGATCACCTGACCTACCGAGTGTATAAAGCAGGGACTGCCAAATGTTGTCCTACCACTGTATGGTGGGCAAAAGGTCCCGAACAGGCAGTCCTACTCCCTACACGGCGGCGAAGTGTAGTATAAGTGCAGTAAGGACTCCAGTCCATGAGGCTCCAGTGTGTGCCACCACAGCCAGCACCGTACCCTTCTGATTAGCACCACGCAGACCCGGCTTCGGCCCAGCTTTCTGTAGCACAGGTAGGGCTTTCTACCTCCTCTTTTCCTCAGCTGGCTCCTCCGCGTTACACGCTTCTGGACCATTAGATTGTTTTTAATATTACAAAAGCACGAACAAATGCAAAAAGACAAAAGGAGAGAGAAGAAGAGAGAGGCAGAAAACTTTGCTTCTGGCTAACAGGCCTAAGGGATGCTGTGGTTAGGATGCAGTTAAAAGATGAGTATCAACAAAACATCTTTCCCTGTTGGTGACCAAAACAAACAATTTTGGCTATATAGCAGAATTTTTTCTTTTTTTTTAGTGGTTCTGTGTATTGAACCCAGGGCCTTGCACATGCCAGGCAAGCGCCCTGCTACTAAGCCACATCTGTAGACCCTAAAACTTTTTAATATTTCAGAAAACGCCAGTCTAAGCTCAACTCCCAAATGAAGATACACAGGGAAGTACAGTAACTATGACTTTCTTTTAACAGCAGGCATGAAATGTTTACATCCCTTTGTTATTCAGATTTCACCTGCCCCAATAAACATAAAGAAACTGCTCATGTTTGTGCTCCTGTGCATCTCAGGGGGACTCAGAAGTACATCAGCTGCGTGATGAGGCCAATTTCGCAGCACAGCTGGCAGAGAAGACTTCAGAAAGCTCAATAAAACCCATTCTTCACCTGAAACGAAGAAAATGAAGAGCTAAACTGCACAGATTTCTTCTTCTGCAAGATCCCTGCTACCCTACCAATACTCTGATGTTCTTGTTTTCCCATCATGCCCCATCTCATTCCTTCTGTCCTCCTACTTAGTGCCCCTCTCCCACCACTGGCAGCGACTCTGGTCCCACTGCAAACTGCACCAAATCACGGGTGACAAGATGCAGCACACTGAACCCGCACACGGCAGCCGTTCCTCTCCCAAGCACGTTCTATACAGAAACTAATAACTAAGAAACAAGAAACAATCTGAACCTTTGGCAGTTGGGGAATGAATAAACTAGGATTATTTATAAACTGTAATGTGTAAATAATATCCTGATACAAAACAGGATGTACTAGCTGGGAGTGGTGGCACACGCCTGCAATCCCAGCACTTGGGAGGCTGAGGCAGAAGGACTGCTGTGAGTTCAAGGACAACCTGAACTACACAGCCAGACCCCACCTCAAAAAACAAACAAAAATCAGGATGTCCTGGGACCTCAGTTGTATGTATGTTTTATTTCTTTAGTATCTGAAACACACATGATATTAAAATCCAGCTTAGTAGTAGGTGTACAGACATCATTACACTAACTTTTATTCTTTGTGTTTGGTTTTAACTTTTATTTTCCTTATTCAAAATATTTTACAATAAAAAACAAACAGGCTATGAGGTATGGTGCAATTCCACCCACTCAGAAGACTGAGGCAGGAGGTTTACTTGAGCACAGGAATTCAAGAACAGCCTGGACAACATAACAAAACTGTCTCAAAACAAACCCCAAACCAACTGTCTCAGAACAAACCCCAAAACAACTCAGATATCTTGCCCTACACCTGCTTCTTTCTCCGCGGGTCTTGCTCCTCCAGTGTCCACTCCATCATCCCTAGCTCCTAAAAGCCAAGGCTTCCTGTGGAGCAGCACCGGTAAGTCAGGGCCTCCCAGTGATTGACAGATGAAGCGCTCCAAAGCTATCAAAATGAATGCAGCGTTCACAAGGCCTAGTTCTTATTTCAGCTTTGTTGGTGCCACTCTAAATCAAAGCAGGAAGACCCTGCTGGTACAGAGTATACACATCCCTAACCTCTGCTACAGAGGTAAGGAGAGGTCGGGCAGCCCTGGGGCTGTGCTCAAGGAACTCAGCCTTTCCTCCTGGGCCTTAGGAGTGACAGCATAAGGAAAAGCATTCACCGGGATTAGATGGTCATGGAGTAAACCCCAGCCACTCTGCTTGGGGAAGTCACAGCAGTCCAAGGGTTCCAACAATTCTCAACTTCGAGGGGAAGCCCCCATCATCTAAACTGCCCCTTCCCTTTACTGATACAATTCTTCACTGTGTCTGCACCGAGCACACACAAAGCCAGGCAAGGAGGCTGGAATCTAGTGCACCATCTTAACAGCTAGAATATCTGTATTATCTGGGGTCAACATGGTCACACGCTGTTTGATTTTAGTGCAAAAGTGTTACGCAGTACAATGAACGAAACTGTGAAGATTTGTCCATTCTTTGGACACACACATTCAGTAACTATGTAAGGTAAACAATGCCTTTACATTACTTATAAAGAGCCAGTAACTATAGCTTACCCTGGTGTGTGCTACAACACGAATACTCTAAAACACACTTTAAAGCTAGCACTAGTACTGGGATATAGCTCAGTGGCAGAGTGCTGCCCTAGCATGCAGGAGGCCCTGGGGTGCACCCCCAGCACTACAAAAGGAAAAAAAATGCTCCCCAGTGAAAATTTGTACACTTAAGTCCAGCCAGGCGTAGTGGTATACACCTGTAATCCCAGCACCCTTGAGGCTGAGGCAGGACAACTGCCATGAGTTCGAAGGTAGCCTGGGCTACACAGTGAATTCAAGGTGGTCTTG